CTCCTATTTTGGTTTTAGTCCTAAGGGATGCTCCGTATCTTGCTATGGCGTCCTGTTTATTCTACTATAGCACGAATCGAGCTGACAAGCCTGCCAGCGGCGACGACTTTCCCACTGCGCTACCCTCCCGAGATCCTGTTCCTAGCTTCAAGTGAAGAGTCAGAGACGGTTGTATAAACTGGAACCCCTAACCATCAGTTGGTGGGTTTTTTGAGTAAAGGGTAACCGGAGACGGCAGCTAGGGTGTTTTTCTAGTGTAGTAGTTTTTCCTAGGTTGACCTTAGAAAGCCGCCCTTTGCTATCGCGCGCGCGCCGTATTCGCCGCCACGATGTTTTGTCGGCCATCTCAGCCTTCAATTGCTCGTCCATCCAATTGATGCGTGTGTTGTTCTCAATAGGCGGTTTCATGCTTTGTAGTGTTGTCAGGCCGGTCGACACCGTCGGCTTCTGACTGGTTTTCTAATCGTTCCGATCAGTTCCTCGATACTGTACGATCAGTTTTCAGTATGCGTTCGACGAGCGAGAATGCCGGCTCCAGAGATCTGTCGCAATCGTCGGTGACGGCATCGTCCCTGACCGCCTCGACACAGATTCAGCCCAAAACGCAGACGTTACCGGCCGGATTCGCCCCCAATACGCAGATTCAGGTGAGATTCTACTGCTACGCATTCTGGAGAAGGAAGGGTAAGGATCGTATAACTTCGTATAATGTATTTTTCTCAAACAGTATTCAGTTAATTCGAGAATATTGATTAAATCAACTTTTTAATGGGACTGCTCAGGGTTTTTGAGGGGTTTGATAGCGCTGCAGCAGAGAGGAGGGATAGTAGCGGCGTCGTTAGCACATCAGTTGTCCGGTAGGAGACTCCTGAAATACCCATACCAACTAAGCCTCACTAGTTTGAAGATTGCCATCTCCCTTGGATTGTGTGCGTAATCAGGAAGACTTGGAGCAGACGGGACGGTTCTGAAGCTTATTATATACGCCAAGTCCGCATTCAAATGCTGCTACGATTCTAAATGGAGGTCTGATTCGTGGCGCATCAAAGAGTTCCGTCAACCGAAGCTTCAGTGCTTTCTTCAAGAACTGCCTGATCCATGATCTCCTTGTTTTGCGTCATCTTCGTTACATTAAAATTCCAAAGTAAAGTCTCTCCTTCACCAATTAACTTTGCTTCACTGCTTAACCTAGTGAGGTATTAGGGCGGTGTGCTCACTTTAAGTTCAATACTAATCACAGCCTCTATGTTGTCCACTTCTTATTCGCAGCAATTTCAGATCGGCAAAGACGGTCGCGTTCGTCCAGTGGTCGGCAATCGTCGGGCTGCGAATTGGGCTTCGGCCTACGAGACCACATTTCCAGCAAATGCCGGTCCTGTCACCACAACGAAAATGCACCCACTTAGCGAAGAGGAGGAGCGTCAATGGGCGGTACGTTTTATTTCTTTTCTTGAGAAATGTCGCCTTTTATCGCCTGTGCATTCTCTGAGCAGTGCGGCGCGCTGCAGAAATTGCTGTTTGTTTGAATGTAACGTAGTTGCAAACAAAAAAAAAAAAAAAATATTTTATTCGACAGCGGCTCTGTTTCGAACATAGTAGAGGCTAGAGATTAGCGATAGTATGATTAACTAACAGCCATAGCTGGGGAATAGAGCCTTTCCAAAAGCATGTCTGTCGAATGAACACGCATGCATCCACTCGGCAGCAGTGATCAGCAAATGCACAACAAGCTGCTCAAATAGACTATAAAATCTATAGCCAAAAATTTGCTCACGCTGGCTTTCACTCGTCGTAGCTCGAAAATTCCACAAATTGCTGATCATAACTCCAATCAACTGTAGGACTCACGAGTTTGAAATTTTCGGCTCGTACATTAATTTTCAAACCGAGCATTTTTTCAGAAGTCCGTCGACCGTTCCGACGTCGTTTCTGCAGTTTCGTGGATCACCGCCGAAACAAAATCCGACGATATGTTGCCGATGTAGCAGCTCGATTTCCCATTCCAATACAGTGTACGGTGGAAGGCTCAAAAAGTACGTGAAAATTTAGTCAGTGATCCACGGTTGGGCGTAAATCGGTCGGAATACGTGGCGCTCCCTTCCGAATCGATTTTCATTTTTTAAAATTCTTTTTATGAGCTCAAAAGAAGCATGAAACATCTCTTGAATGAATTTTTTCATCAGAAAAAAATAAAACGACAAACTTCAGACAGTGTATCTGTTCGCATTTCCGGTTTCCGCCTTCTTCTCTCTAGCCAACATCTGGTTCTCGTTTCTGCGTTTTTAAAGACGTCTTACCTTACTTTACCGTGATCGCATCCATTTTTGGCCTTCGTTCAACTTATCGGTATTCTGCTG